CCATTATCTCCACTGCTGTTTTGCATTGTCATGGATGGTTTTTCGTGTACTTTGGAGAATATGGAACCCTCTTTTATTGGCTCTCATATTAAAGATTGCAAGGTCACGTGTCTGCTTTATGCGGATGATGTCTTGGTGTTTGTCAAAGCTACTTCTTCTAATGCTGCTACCCTGGCCAATGCTATTTCAATTTTCTCCAACGCCTCTGGTCTTACTATCAATTACACTAAGAGCTCTATTATTTTCTCTAAATATGTCACTGTTCAGCATTCTTTTGGTGATGATATTGTCATTATCAACACGAGCTCTTATCTTAATTATTTGGGCATTCCCATTGCTGCCTGTCGCCTCAATTTTTCTCACTTCCAACCACTATTGAGTAAAATTTTTACTCTACTTGATGGTTGGAAAGTCAATTTTCTTTCTTTTACAGGTAGGGTCCAATTCATTAGGTTCACGATCGCTAATACTCTCGCTTATTGGATTAGGGGGACAATATTACCCAAGTCTTGTCTCAAATCTATTTACAGGCTTTGTTCAAGATTCCTTTATCATGGTAATATTAATGAAAAGAAACTTCATTTAATTGCGTGGGGCAAAACTGCTTTACCTACCTATTTTGGTGGTATGGGTATTCCATCTTTGGATGCTCTGTGTCATGCCAGTCAATGTTCGTTCCTGTGGAGATTTTTTACCAAGAGTAATATGGCAATGTCTTGGTTTAGAAACAAATACCACTCTCCCTAGAAACCCCTCAACTCTATGGCTTCTAAATTATGGAAGAAAATCCATGCTATTGCTTTTTTGGTTAAAGCCAGTTTTTCTTTTGTTGTTTCTCTTAACTGCAATTTCTCTATAGATTGGGATCCCTGGTGCAATGGGAATTCTCTTAATGACATTCTTCCATCCTTTAAATTTGGGAAGATTTTTTTGAATTGTTATACTAATAGCAACGGTTGGGCTTTGCCCTCTTCGACCCCTATTGCTCTTCGTCTTGAACTATATGGAACTATTTTTGCTAAGCAACACGCTGATGCCTGGGATGGCTCTTTCGTGCATTCCTTTTCTACTTTTTATTACAGTTTTTTCAAACATTTGGATGAAGTTAATTGGCATACTTATCTTTGGCATAAAAGATTTTCTTTGCGGTATTCTTCCTATGCCTGGATGACGATTCTGGGTAAGCTCAAGACTGCTGACTAGCTTCGGTTGAGGGGGATTGATGTATCATCTGCTTGCTCTTTTTGTGATGCTGGTAATGAGTGCCATTCTCATTTGTTTTTTGGCTGCGATTACACTTTTACTGTCATTTATTCGCTTCTTCCGGCGTTGGGTGTTTTTCTTATGAGGCCTAACCTGATGCAAATTTTTGATTATTTTGGGAGTTCTCATCATTTCTGTACTTGGGAAAAACATTTCTGTTATTTCGTGATTAACTGTACCATTTATTCTATTTGGAGGGAGAGGAACTCTAGAAGATTTGAAAATATTTGGAAAAGCCCAAATGCGATTATTGCAAGCATTCGTCACACTCTTATTGCCAAAGTTAAGAACTGGAAGAGCATCAATGAGCTTAAAGTCCGTTTTGAGATCCTCGGCTGAATTTTCTCTGTTGCTGTTCGTTTTGGTGGATTTTGTGGGCGATGATGTTCATATTGTTTTTCTACCCCCTTGGACGGCAGGGGTCATATATTTTCGTACCAAGTGTTCCCATGAGCTTATAATGATGCTTCTTCTGCAACCAGGGGGTGTCGCTTTCTCGTAGACAATACCCTGAGCCCGAATTTTGGTCCCTTCCACCAGCTTTTGATTTTTTGCAATTCCTATCATTTTTATTTTCTTCCGCTTGGAAACTTCTTTTTCGTTTACAGGTTTACACCTCACTTGTAACTAGTTCTTAGTTTTAATGAAATATGGGCTTTTCGCCCTCTAATTTCCAAAAAAAAAAAAAAAAGATTTAGAATTTCTTTTCAATTCCACTTGACTTAACGCTCAGACAGCGGATGCAGGCCACGAGCCAACCATTTTTTCGGGTCAAATCGGGTTTGATTTTAGGTTTTCAGATCAATCCGAACTAGACCCGATTTTATAAACGGGTTGAAAACTTGAATCCGAACCCAAACCATATGGTAAATGGGCTGACCCGAACCCGAAATTTTCTTGGTCGGGTCAGATTTTGACACCCCAAAGTTGATGACTGTTGCTTACTCTCTCTTTTTTTTTTTTCTCATTTTTGTCGTCTTGAATGATTGGAAGTTTTCTTGGATTATTTTGTTATTATTATTTTTCTAAAGTTACCTTTTCCTTATGCTGTTTATTGGATATAATGGCGCTAAATGCTAATGATACCTGTTTATCAAATATGGTTTAACACCATGGATGCTGCACCTGGTCGCCTAATTGTAGAGGGAGAGCCTTTTCCCCACTATAGTCAACATCAGCCCATTCCATCTTCTCACATTTTTTTTTCATACAAGCATTATTTTGAGTTGATGAAGCTTTATAATTTTTTTTGAGCTCACTCCTTTTTTTTTCTATTAGATTCTCTTTTAATGGGGAGAAATTATTAAATGCAGACACTGGATGTAGAAGTTATGTCTGGATTCCAATAAAAATATGATTTGTGAACTAAATATTACTATTGATGCGTCATCATGAAATCATCTTGATCGGGCACGAATCTCCAGGCAAAAACCAACCCGAAAACTTTAAAAATTAAATCTGGGAGCACCTGAACTTCGATTTCAGCGAGCTTACAGTCAAACTGAGCGTCTCAGAAATACGAACCCAACGACATCAAATTCAACTCATTCCGAGTCCAAATGAGTCTGAATTGAAGACTCGAAGCGATGTTGGAAGATTCGAATCATAATTTGAGTTACCAAACGGTCTCCAAATTTGACAAGCTTATAGTCAAATCGAGCGTCTAAACAAGACGAATCCAACGAGCCCAAGATCACCGAATTCCAACATCACTAAGACCTTCAAATGTCTGACGAACGATCTACGATCAAGAGATTCAATATCGGTTGTCATTCAAACCACTCCCGATTCGCCCTTGATCTCTCATCTATTTTTGGGCCATGCCACTCCAGAAAATCTATAAATAGAGCCCTAATTTCTCATGAAAGGGGACCCAAGGCAAGAAGAATAAGGGAAGAGGAAGGAGAATCAGCTCCTCCTCAACCACTTCCAGAGTTCGTCCTGCCGCCCGAACACGACGAGATTCTGCGTGATATTCGAGAGAACGCCGAAATTCTGCCCAACTTCCACGTGATGCTGAAATTATTCTCAATTAATGACAGAGTTCCCTCATGACGCCGAAACTCCGCCCAAGTGAAGCCGGAGTTCTCCTATGCCACAAACAGATGTCGGACTTCCACCCAACGTTAGACCTTCATTCTTCGCCAAGTTTCTACCATATGCCGAACTTCTACCGTTTATCGGACTTCGCTAGACTTCTGTGCGAAGATGGATTTCTTTCCATTGTTGGACTTCTACCTGACGCCATCCTTCTGACCTTCATCGTCATACACAGTACTTCCAGCCTCCGTCGCAAGGCAACTGTCCTTCTGACCTCCGTCGCCAGCCGACTACGGTCCTCCTGACTTATGTCGCCCGCCGACTACGGTCCTTCTGACTTAAGTCGCCCACCGACTACAGTCTTTCCGACCTCCGTCACCCGCCGACTACGGTCCTCCTGACTTTTGTCGCCCGCCGAATACAGTCTTTCCGACCTCCGTCGCCCACCGACTATGGTCCTCCTAACTCACTTTGCCCGCCGACTACAGTCTTTTAGACCTCTGTCGCCCGCCGACTACGGTCCTTCTGACTTAAGTCGCCCACCGACTACAGTTTTTCCGACCTCCGTCGCCCGCCGACTACGGTCCTCCTAACTCACTTCGCCCGCCGACTACAGTCTTTTCGACCACTGTCGCCCGCCGACTACAGTCCTTCTTACTTACGCCGCCCGCCGACTACAGTCCTTCCGACCTCCGTCGCCAGCCGACTACGGTCCTCCTGACTTACGTCGCCCATCGACTACAAGCTTTCCGCGCCGACTATGGTCCTTCCGACCAAACGAACATGTCAACAATGACTCTTTGTATTAACATCATGTAATGTACTCCATAAGATGTACATCAAGCTAAGGCCTTCCCCCAAGGAAGGGTCTCATTTGTAATCGACTGCAAATACTAGTGGATTCATTCGAACTGGGCTAGGCCCCGTGATTTTCCCCCTTTTCAGGGGGTTTTCACGTAAAAATATTGGTGTCTCATGTGAATGCTACACACTCTCTCTTATCTGACTGCGTGCCGGATTTTCATACAAAGCTAAGACGTTAAATATGATATTTTTCTACAGCCGCGAATACTCCTAGACGCAACAACTATATATTATTATGTATTTAGCTGTAGTACACAACAATACACACCTAATGCACATCAAAACACATTAATACACAATAATATTACTATGTATTGGTGTTCATTTATGTGTATTACGTATGTATTATTGTGTACTAGCTAATACACAATAACATATAAAAATACATAATAAATACACAACAATACCTAGCAATACATAGTAATACACTGGTTTACGATCATATTTTCATTGGAATCCGGACATTGCTCTATGTGCGATATCCACATGAAATAATTTCTCCTTTTATGGGGGTATACTATATTTGATTTGTCATCTTAGTCTTACTTTTTCTAAGCTTTCCTATCGTTTTCTTAATTTGTTTAAAATAGTAATAACAAATAAAAATAAAATAAAATGAGCGAAAGCATGATCGACACGTCGAGAGGATAGGATCGGAATAATAAAAAGGCTCTATCATTAAATAAATAAATAAATAAGTAAATGATATGTGGAACCTAAATAGCCACGTGGAAAGAATCCGAACTATATACACACGTGGCAGTCTTGGGCTTGTAATTCGCATCAAGCTCATTGGCCCCGCATCACCTCTTTGGTCTTCTATTTATTGCCTCTCCTTCCTCAGTTGACCACTATCTTCAATCGTGAATTCGTGATATTGGAAATCCGTTGAGTGACCGCTTAATCACCGACCAAACGTTCTGTCAAGAGATGGACGTCAGTGGCAATGGGGGCGGCGGATCAGTTGCCGGTGAGAATCCGGCGATAAACGTGAGTGGTCCGCCTCCGTTCCTTAGCAAGACCTATGCTATGGTAGATGACCCTTTGACGGACTCGATTGTCTCATGGGGGCCGTGGAACAACACCTTCGTGGTGTGGGAACCGCTGGTGTTCGCGCGTGACCTTCTTCCCAAGTATTTCAAGCACAACAACTTCGCTAGCTTCGTCCGACAGCTCAATACCTATGTGAGTAACCCCCCACCCTTACATTTGTTCTTTCTTTATTAGCTTGATTGGATTTATTGAATATAAGATGTGAATCAAATCGTCCTTCGGTGAAAAAGTATGGTAATTGGATGAAAGAAATCTTTGATGAAGAACCTTTAGGGTTAGGGTAGAGGAAATTGAAGTGAAGAGTTTAGTTTTGTTGAATAGGATCGTGTTAGATTCCAATCTTATTTCTTTGATGCTAAATTAAGGAGTTCCTTGCCTTTTCAGGCAGAATAAATTGTCGCTGTATAAAATATTGTCAGTTCTTCCCAAAAAAAAAAAAAAAAAACCAGTTCCTGACAAGGAGATGAATCCAAAGTAAACGTTCTCATCAGAAGCTTTTCCGATATTGAAATTTATAGGGGAAAGCTGTTCCCTCGCTTGTGATGTTTTTGAAGCATTTATTCCAAATCATATTGCACATAGTTATTTGAAATATATAGAAAAAATTCCTCTATTTTAGCTGTTATTTACGACTGATTATTCATGTGTGACGAACTACCGCTATTTGTGTGTTTATATGTTATTTTAATTTGTTTTCATCAATAATCTTTATTCCTTGACTTTGTGAGGATGGCGTTTCCTGATTCGATCCCTAGAACATATCAATGCAACTACTTGTTGTTGTTGATGAATGGTTTGCATATGCAATCCAATTCAGACTGTGGGGTTGTTTGGCTAAAAGTATGATTAAGTAAATCCTATTAATACAGTTTTAGTAAATCTTGAGAAGATTAAAAGTTGAAAATTTATTTGGCACAACTGTGAAATCTTGTTAAAATTTGATTAACTCTTTGACCATTTGCTTTAGGATTTGAGATTTGTGAGAGGATAAACCTTAAATCCATTTAATTCTATGGATGTTAGGATTTGACAAATCTTGAACTTGATCAATAATGACGTTTAAATGTGATTTATCAAGAAAAATATGTTTTAAACTCTTCAAAATTCTGTTTGGCTTGATTTAAGTTAAATATTGCTTAAATCCTACCTATAATAGGATACCTAATAGCCCTTAAAGGATGTTGTTTATAGTTTGAAGCGCTGATTTGATTTATGGTGTGATTTAATTCGATAATTATGAACTATGTATCAATTCTATTTTGATTACTGTAACTACATGTTTAAGCTCTTTCACAGTCTAAAATATGTAGCTAACCTCCGCATTTGATAATTTTACTAAGCAACTTGTTTTGATGATTATTCTTCCTTTTTATACAGCTATGCTTAATTTTAAAAATTGTTCTTCTCCCCCTGTTTTTGTCTTAGTTATGTTTATAAGGTAATTTTTAATTATGTAACTCTCCCTCTTTCTTTTATTTTATGATTTTTCTAATGTTAGACTATAAGATTCCAAACATTCATTGGATGTTGATTTAACCTTCAAAGCACAATTTTGTGTGCAGGGAAGAGTTGTATGGTTTTAAAACACAAAAAATCCAAGGAATCCTTGATCGCATGTCATGGCTTGTGTACACTCTCCTGTGGTCCTGTTTCGGCAAAACTTGAAAATGTCAGTTTGCAGCCATTGCTGGAGTGGCATCTTTTTATTGATGTTGCTCTTATGCCGCTTCTGTGGATTTCCTAGTAAAATAGCTGTCTCCGGACCTGCTAATTTCCTAGTAAGCTCTCCTTGTGGACATACATGACTAATTGCACATGTTTGGATGCTAATATTTTCAAAAATAATTTTTTTTTTTGTGAATTTGCAATGCTTTACTTCTGATTGGATCTGTCTTTATTGCCAGGTTTTTTGTTTTAATGATTTATGAGTTTGAAATTTGAACGAATTATTATTAAGCTTTTTATATGTTACTTTACGTTGGAGTTGTTAGATCACAGTGAAAGTGTTGTTATTTCTTAAAATCATTGAATAGGACTTGTGCTCTAACAACACTTTCACTGTGATCCTCAAAAGCAATCCTTCAGTCTTGTGAATATCCTCTTATTTTATTTTTGCTTTGTTATTGAAGCAATTGCAAGATGGTGATGGCTGTTCATTTCATCGTACACCGCCAATTCAGTGATGTTAAATCTAATATTTGAGTTTCATAAATTCACTGCTAGTCCTTTTTTTCAGACTTGAAGCGAAAAACAATATATTTGATAGGACAGAACACAAAAGTTTCTACAACATCCTGCTGCCTCCTTTCTCTCTAAATTGAGATTAAACTTTGGACCATGGTTTAGAGGATCACCCTGAAACTGATCAGAAATACAAAGTCAGATCGGTTTTTGGGCAAACCATTAGAACCATTTTTTTTTCTTTTTCCTCATTTTACAGTGAAACTGAGTTAGGATATTTTGGGCTAATATGCGTTAAGATGAGCAAATTCTGGCCCATGGGAACGGGTTCCTGCAATTAGGATTAAGATTGTAACAAGATGTAATCTAAGTATTTGAAAGAAAGTACCTCAGATTCAGAGGGATTCAAAGCATGCATTATAGTTAAAAGAAGAGTGCGCTGTAAAACATACTAGGCCAACCCAACCAATTCTTGTATGCATGAATGGTAAAATAATTTAAATTGCCATTTTTAATATGATTTATCTATTATTATTAATCAATTAACCATGGATTTAAACACAATCCCATTTTAGTTAAGCCAACTTATGAGTATTTTGTTAAAAATACTCGAAGTTAGTTAAATGCAATAAATCATGCAAGTGATAGCAATGAAAGGATATTCATGAAGAACAAGTGATTAAAAATGTACTAGTTATTTTTTATTTTTTAAACAATATTCATATATTTATATTTTGTATAATTTTTTGAATGAATATTATAAATATCTTTGTTAATTTTAAAATTTATTTAAGGAATAATATTTAAAATATATTTTTTACTTTCAAAAATAATGGAAGCTAAAACATAGACTGAACACCGAAAATAACTATTGAGATCATCTTAAACTGAAACATTCACATTAAGAGTGAAACCGGACCCGAGTTTTAAAAACTTGCTATGGACCATCTCAGACAACCATAGATATAGAAAATTTGGATTTGCATCATTGAGATAGGTGATATAAAGGTAAATTTAAGTGGTATGAGCTTGTATAATAGAGAGCATAGAAGGAGCTTTGGATTTACTAGAATTATCTTTGTAAAAGTAAAAGAATAGTATAAGCTGTTGAAAGGAAAGTAAACATTTTTTTTTGGAAAAACATGCTTTTTTCTTGTTAGTTTATTAATCAAATGTTGGTTGAGGTTTTTGGCTATGGTGTCACATAGGTGTTAGTAATGATCAAATGATAGTCATATCATGCGACTCAATATGTCAATCAAAAGAGCTTTACAGTAAACTTAAATTTATGATTTAAAATTATTGAGATGAAAAAAAATCAAAATTAAAGTGCTTGAAAATTAGAAAATATGAAAAGTGATATAATAAACATACTCGTCAGCAATGAATGGCACAAAGGTTCCATTGGAGCCATGGCGCATAGCGCATGCCATTGGAACACAACGTAAAATAAAAATAATTATTAAAAAAATAGGTGTTTGATAGATATTTGCATGAAAATTTTGTTTATGGTAGCATTATTCTAATTTTTCATGCATAACTATACATACAAGCAAGCTTGTTTGAACAAGATGTTCAAGATAATTTGAACAAATAAAACATCCAAACCTATTTTTATACAGCATTTATAAAACATCCAAACCTATTTGAATACAGGATTTATAAAACATCCAAATTTAGCCCTTGCCGCCCCCTCCTTTGGCTCCCAAATTTGAATTTGAACTCTAGTGGACCCCACCCAATCCCTCTCTCTGCTTCTTGCCGCCAACCCTTCTCTTGTACATGTAAACGGCCCCTTAGAAGAGGCCGGTCCACTAAGGACGGGTCTAACAATACCGTCCTCTTAAAGAATCACCTTGACCTCAGAGTGAAAACAAGGAAACTACCGTCCTCTTAAAGAATCACCTTGACCTCAGAGTGAAAACAAGGAAACTGATGTTTTACCCTCTCGTAAGGCTCCCACATGGCATCGTTGTCAGGGAGATTCTTCCACTTGATCAACTCTTCCTTAGTTCCATCTTCCCTCTAGCAAACCCCCATCAACTCCAAGGGTTCCAAAATCACCTCTAAATCTTCAGTGAGTGTCACCGGTAACTCTGAACTGGCTGCATAATCTACGATGACCCTTCTCAATTGAGATACATGGAAAACATGATGTATAGTCATCGTTGGTGGTAGTTTCAGCCGGTATGCCACCACTCAAATCCTCTCCAATATCTCATAGGGCCCAAAGTATCTACAGGCAAGCTTCTCATTCCTTATGGTGGCAACTATCTTTTGCCTGTAAGGTCGGAGCTTCAGGAGAACCTTCTCGCCTATCTCAAATTTGATGTCCTGTTATGCTCATCTGCATGATTCTTCATGATATGTTGAGCTCTCAACATATGTCTCTTTAACTCATCCAACACCTTGTCCCTCTCCTCCAAGTACTCATCCACTAAAGAAACTTGAGTGCTGCTATGCCCAAAGTGCACCAAGTGAGGTGAATCCCTCCCATACAATACCTTGAATGGCGTCATCTAAGAAGCAAAATGATAAGATGTGTTGTACCAATACTTCGCCCATGCTAAACATCTGGCTTATAACTTGGGTGTCTTTGATGCAAAGCATCTAAGGCAATTCTCCAAGCTCTTGTTTACCACTTATGTTTGGCCATCTATCTATGAGTAGTAGGCGGTGCGCCTCTTCAATATTGTCCCCTGTAATCTAAACAGCTCCTTCCAGAAATGGTTGAGGAACACCTTATCCCTGTCGGATATTATAACCTATGCTACTCCATGCAATCTGACCACCTCTCTGATGAAAGCTGATGCCACTGTCACTGCGGTGTATGGGTGTCTTTGGGGAATGAAATGAGCATACTTGCTCAATTGATCCACTACCACTAGGATCACTGTAAATCCTTATGACCAGGGAAGTCCATCTATGAAATCCATGGATATTTCCTCCCA